AAAAGAATAGTTTATATTACAATATTTTATTTGATAATTTCATAGCACATTTTGTGTAAATAATATTCAAAATATAAATAAGATGTGGTATGAGTGCCAATGAGACATCTCTTCATCAAAGTCACAATGTATAAAAAGTTAACAATTATAGGTCAAAGTACACAATGTTATTCACAAGCAATTGAAATTATTTAGGTGAAAACATTAATACATACAAGTAAATAATATAAATTGAAATATAAGTATATTAAAATTGTAGTAATTATTCTTTGAAACAAAGCACTAAATTTTGAGTTACACTGCATATTCATTGAAACAAAGCACCGAAACACTAAATTGACATTAAAACAGAGCACTAACACAGTAATACACTGCACTAAATTGAACACACAAGATAATACGAAGTCTTAATCAATGCCAGGGGCGGATTCAGACGGGGGCGTGGCGTGCGTGCGCCCCCTAAAAGCATGGGTTGTCTTAAGCGTAATCAAGAATATTTCGATAATTTTACCTCAAAAAAATTTTTCGCCCAGTTCCGCTCGGCGAAAATTTAAGTTTGCGCCCCCCCCCCCCCCCTAACCTAAAATCCTGCATCCGCCCCTGAATGTGCAGGAGATGAGAAGCAGCATCTCCATACTGGACTGGCGTAAGTTCATCATTCTGTAACCTTGTTTTAAGTGTTTGAAGTCTGTAATCTATTTCCCTGTATTTTCACTTTCTTGGAACACGTTTCCCACCGGCTCTGTATTGGATACGTGTGAGAGCACGGAAGGCTTCTTGTCTCAACAACTTAATCATGCTGAAGATGTTTGGGTGAGGTGCCTTGGCTAACTTCTTCAGTTTACTATGCCAACCTTATGATTTGTTGTTATAGGACCTTCTGTTGCGTAGTGATTCCATAGGCTTTGGTTGTTGTCTACCCAGTAGCTTGTAACATAGTCTGTGAAGTTAAAAGTTGGTGTATCAGTATCTGCAGCATCGATGTCCTCCAGTGCGTTAAACCAAACATCTTCGACTGTATTGGGTGGTAAAAGTGGCAGAACAGCAGCTCTCCGAACAAGTTGGTGAATGTTGCCTTTTTCACTGTATGCAGTCTGCAAACCATGCTTCTATGCATTTCTCCAGATACACTGAGTGTAGTGAAAAAAAGCACCCTTTAATGTTGATTCCTGGGAAGATTGAAGTCGCTGCGTTTCTGATGGCTATTTCGTAGTCGAGGAACATCGTGGCTGGTTGTATTAGTATGTTGAATTAGTTACATAGATCTTGAAGAATAGTGAGTAGCCTTGTGTATATCTGCTGATCTTTACCGGGTAGGAGACTGTAAACCAGTGGAAACATAGTACCATCAACTTTAGCATGGAAAGTGTATAGCTGGTAGAACAGTGTTGGACAAACATAGAATGTTCCATCACAGTAGATGGGCATCATGGTGTCTGCTGCTGTTAGATGTATGAGGTTCTCTTGGGCACTGAATACAAGCGTTCAACCATTGATGTTATCATCTGCAAGTAGGAAAGGTTGTCCAGTAGTAGTTTCAGTCCATTCACCATCTCCTAGCTGTGATATCTGCTACTGATGTTGGTAGTGCAGGTAATGTCTTGTGTCTCTCGTTGTAAAGCTGGTCTTTGCATGAGTAGAAGGTTGGTATGTGTTCAACTAGTTGGTGTGTGTCATAATTCTATTCTCGGTCACGGAGTTTTACCAATTCTTCTTCATAGATAGTTGGAATTGCAGTGAGTTCATCATTACAACGGGATTTCATACGTTCTAGTACATCGTCTACTCTGAGTTGCATTCTGTCTGAGTGGTGATTGCCATCCACTTTGGTTGGTATGTTGTTGTGTGTTGATAGTGGCAGGGCAGTTACGGGTAGAGCATTTCCAATAACATCTGTCTCCACGTCTTGACTTTATCTGGAAGTGGTAGGATACATGTTTTCAAACAAAAAAAATCCCATTTTTTTACATAAATTTCATATAAATAATTATTTTTATTTAATTTCCAGAGGTAAATTTACCTGTGACCTAATTAGACACTAATGACTAAAACAACATATTTTGCAACAACATCTATTCTTCTTCCCATAATCTCCCATGTAGGAATAGCCAGAATTATGGCAAGCCGTTTTACTATTTATTCCAACTTCAAGATATCTAATAAACTTTACGAGATATCTCATATAGTTTATAAGATATCTTATATAATTTTCTTTATAAGATATCTTATAAATTATATGAGATATCTTATAAACTATATGAGATATCTTATAAACTATATGAGATATCTTATAAACTATATAAGATATCTTATATAAGATTACATAAAAATATTCATAAGATATCTAATAAACTTTATAAGATATCTTATAGACTTTATGAGATATCTTATAAACTTTAGAAGATATCTAGATATCTTATCAAGTTTAAAAGATATCTTTTAAAGTTTAGAAGATATCTTATGAAAACTAAATTATATGAGATATCTTATATATTATATGAGATATCTTATATATGATATGAGATATCTTGAAGTTAGAATAATTAGTAAAACGGCTTGCCATACAGAATAGTAAAATACAAAATGTAGGAATAGCCAGAAGACGCCGTTTATTGGGCCCTGAACCTTCAGTAATGGTTCATTGACTTTGGATATTTTGCATGTGTAAACCTTACAAACTCAAAGTTCCATCAGACTAAATATCGTTTAGATTATTACTTACAGTAAAAGATCACATAATCACCAAAAGTTAACTGATCAACAAACCATGAGATTGATGTCAAGGTCAGACATACCAAGTTCATATCACGGTGATTCTGAAGACCACACATAGTTAACCCTCAGTAGTCATAGTAACGAATAAAAGCATCTTTTCATTTAAACAACCTAGATTAATGAGTCACAAAAATAGTTCAAGGCCATGTGTCTCTTTTCAGATGGATCCGACATGTACATGTTACAATGATTCTGTAGGCTAATAAAAGTTGACTTAATATTTTGATGCTAACTGATTAGAAACTGGCATAATCATTCAACATAACGGATAAAAAGCCATTGGAATTAAAATACTGGCATGTGACATATGTAAATTGCTCCCATTATACAATATTTGAAAAAGGCACATAATAATGAAACTTAACTTGATAAATGAAACATAAAAAATAAGTCAAAGTCAGATGTGTACACCGCGTTAAATGACTCTTTCGATCAAATACAGTTGACAAAATACTTGTCAGTAAATTGAGAAACTGAGTTAATCACGGATGATTAATGGTCGTTGGCTTCTGTCTACCATATTTGTTTTTCGTTCATTGTTGTAATCATAACAAGGTCTTTTATTGCTTATTATACGGTATGGGTTTTGCTCATTGTTGAAGGCCGTACGGTGACTTGTAATTGTCCATACCTTTGTCCTTTAGTCTTTATAGATAAGTGTCTCATTAGCAATCATAACACACCTCCTTATTCATGAGACCAGGGGACAGTATAAAAAAATAATCAGAAGACCATGACCAAGAGAAATACACAGAAAGGAGATTAATCATGTATGTCGATGTGTCTTCCTTTCACTCTAAACTTTTGCAATCAATTCCAGATGTGTGATTGAGTATACATGTTTGATTATTCTTCCCTTAGTTTATTTATTTTGTATTTACATTGTATCATAGGTCAAATTTATTTGTTCAGTGTATGTTCACTGGTGTTAATATGTCTTTTGATTGAGTTAAGCCATTTCAATTGATATTTTATAGTGTGTCTTTCTATGTTGTGATGTTACACTATTGTTTCAGATAAGGATGAAGGCTTCGTACCATTAAAAAGTCTAAACCCGCTGCAATTGTTTGCACCTGTCCTAAGTCAGGAATCTGATGTTCAGTAGTTGTCGTTTGTTGATGTGGTTCATAAGTGTTTCTCGTTTTTTATATAGATTAGACCGTTGGTTTTCCCGTTTGAATGGTTTTACACTAGTAATTTTTGGGGCCCTTTATAGCTTGCTGTTCGGTGTGAGCCAAGGTTCCGTGTTGAAGACCTGTACTTTGACCTATGATGGTTTACTTTTATAAATTTTGACTTTGATGAAGAGTTGTCTCATTGGAACTCATACCACATCTTCTTATATCTATTTATAAAATATCTCATATAGTTTATAAGATATTTAATATAGTTTATAAGATATCTTGTACAGTTTATAAGATATCTCATATAATTTTCTTTATAAGATATCTTATAAATTATATGGGATATCTGATAAACTATATGATATATCTGCTATCTTATAAACTATATGAGATATCTTATAAACTATATAAGATATCTTATATAAAAAGTATTTATAAGATATCTTCTAAACTTTATAAGATATCTTATATTCTTTAGAAGATATCTTATAAACTTTAGAAGATATCGTATACAGTATATAAAATATCTTATAAAGTATATAAGATATCTTATAAAGTTTATGAGATATCTTACACAAACTAGATTATATAAGATATCTTATATATTATATTATATATCTTATATAAGATATCTTGAAGTTAGAATAAATAGTAAAACGGCTTGCCATAGAGGTGGTTTATGGCTAACGTTTGTGCATCTCCTTTTCTTTTTCTTTTGTTTTAGTAAGAATGGAAATACAAAAAAGGTAAAATGAAGATTTTGGTACAATAAATTATAAAGATTGAATGAGAAACGCGTTCTTTAATTGTGAGATGCGAAATTAACAGGATTAGCATGACTAAGCCCAAATGCAAAACTTACGACACTTTAACCAAACAACGTTCACCTGTTATAATGTCAACATGCTATGATTATAATAGGGATGTCATAAATAACACTGCGTGTAACCTGCATTCCGCATGTACAGGCAAGGTATAGATCAATGTAACAATTTCGGAAGTTCGTGTCAATTTCCTTGAACTCTTGAAGTATCCCTAGGGTTTAAAACATTTTAAATAAAATAGAAAGTGGAATCATTTCACTTGCCTACCATCTAATTATCAAGATAACACCACTTAAACAAACATCACTATCAACTGGTATGTCTCACATAGATACAACTGTAGAACACATTTCGTAATATTTAGCGTTTGTTCGTGTAGCAGCAACAAAGAAAATATGATTATTTTGATGTTAATAATAACAGTTTCTTCCGTGACAGCAGATGTTGGTGAGTAGATTTAAATAATTTTTATAAACCGTGTAAATACCTTGATCTTTTCATAAAATCATGTATCATACCTGAGACTACTATACTATTATAGTAGTCTCAGATCATACTTGCTATCATGATCGTCATGTTAGGATACCAGAGACAATTTATGCATTATAATATTTCTGGCTAACGGATTGGTGTAACCATCGGAGACTGATAGTCCACGAAAACAGTACCAAAAATGTAAGGAATTTTGTATACATTCCTTTGTTTGTAGTAATATAAATGCATGGTATCGATTTCTTTGCATGTTTTATTATGATCATTAGGCCACAAAAATATGCTTGTTTTCTGCTTCCTGTCAGATAAAACAGGATAGGTAGATAGGTAAAATGAATTTATACTGAACAAAATATTTTACAGACTAGAACTTATTTTGAAATGGTTATTTAAAGAGAAATGTTATGAATTTAACAATCACGGTAGGTATAGTGTCCGCATGAATTCATGTTTTTTCTAGTGAATCGGTCCACTTTTTTCGAGTTGCAAGGGTTCTTAATGTGCAGAGTGAGCGTGGCACTCTCTCTACACGCCCCATTCTGACCGGACGTGGCTGCGTACTTGAATATCCCGCACAGCCAAACGGACGACCCACTTTGGCAGGGGTTTTACTGCCGGTCGGAAGAGGACCTAAGTGAACATAAGTTATACCCAGTCCCCCTTTGAGGTAAACAATTTAAGAAAGATTTGTTATAAATCATGTCAGTGCCGAAGTACTGACTACTGAGCTGATGATAAACTCGGGGACTTATCCAATGTATTTAATAAACAACAAAATAAATAATCTTTAATTTTTAATCTGTAAGCTTTAATACGACCCTTTTGAAATAATAATAAAAACAAACTAAATGTGTATATAATATGCGTACACCTCACACATATACATTGTCAATTTTTATTCTTTTAATTTCTGATGGGAATAAAGCTTTGATGGCACTTTATTACTGTGTGAACAAGCATAATACTGTAAACCAACTTATTTTCGGGGATACTTTATTTCGCGTTAAGCCCTTTCTAGCCCAATTCACGGCTATTTAATTTCGCGATTTTCAAATTTACTTGATGTAATTAGACAAGGAAGGATCCAAGATTTAAATTTTTTTGCGACGATTTATATTCGCGTTATTTTTCTTCTCGCGAATGTCGCGAAAATAAATCGCTCGCGAAAATTAATTGGTTTACAGTACACGCTTGATCAGACTCCTCTTTACAGTAGGGGCATTTGAACATTGTTCTTGATTTCCATTTTTAGAACGATCAAACATATTACAATCAAGACAAATAGTAAATGAAACATTTATAGTAAATGAAACATTTAGGATATATTTTCTGTTAAAAATACACTATGTGTATGTACGTCTCAATCCAACATGTCTGAGCTCACATAAAGATTGTTTACATCACGAAATATTTACTGTATGAATCCATATCGATACACTAACATGAAGATTTCTGAATACAAATTTAAAATGAACGATGCTTTTTTATGAAATTTACGTGTTAATACAGCATTATCAAACTGGTTTAATGCATTTGTTTCGTGCTTTGAAAAGTACTTTATTTTAACCTTTTCGTTGTTTTTAAACGCAAATGCACTGACATATTACATTTTAAGCCATAAGAATTTTGTTTTTTTACACTCGATAAAACAAGGACGCACTCGAAAAAACACGGACTGCTCTCGAAAAAACACGGACATATCAAAATGAATTTACTCTCCATAGTTCCTTTTCAATGCAAAAACAAGCATTTTTGTAAAGTGTCTGTATATCAAAGTATATAAAGATTCCATGTACGTTGACATTTGCATTGGTATGTGTATACAAATGGCTTTAATCTATATTGTGGAATAAACTGAACATTGTAAGGCTAAATTAAATGTTGTTTAAACAAAATAGTGTAGGGTTGATTATATCTTTTTATCACAAATACTGATTTACCTTCTATGATCTTGTATATAAGGTTCAAGCATCTTTTACGTCTTACCAGAAAAGATATCTGTTTGTTTACATTTTTGATCATATTCACTCGAAAAAACGTGATCACACTCGAAAAAAAAACCCCGATTAAGTCACTCGAAAAACCACAATCCCAGCCGGACACTAAGCCTACGGTTACAATACTAAACCAGAAATGTCCATAAAATGTGTTCAGTATGCATGCAAATTTTGGGTCAGTAGGGAGGAAGGAATCAGAACTATATTTGTTTCGCCTTGGAGAAATTCTTTTACATAAAACAAAGGAAAGAGATAAAGAATAATAACGCCTATGTTTATTCAAAACTGACTTGTTTAATTACATGTAGATGTGAACATTTCCCTAGTAAGATTCTGTTGGTATGTCGTACAGAAGGTAGATAAGTCAACTTTAAAATAATTGCAACAGGTATCATTCAATGACAAATAGTATTTCATTTTAAAGCTCGGGCATAACTTTCTACAGATAAATATTGTGATATGCACACCTATCTGCGATACATCTAAAACTTTGAAGACAATGTCCTTGCTGCATGATATTTAATATTTTATTTTATTAACCAATCATGGTGCCCAAAATTTGAGCTATACAATCAAATGAATTACAAAATAAAGCACAATAAATGATTAAAATTAGTACATTTAAACAAAAACATGTATTCACATTTAAACAAATTAACATACTTATAAAAAATGTCATTGGTAAAACATTAAGTCATTTTGGAAGCCACTGTGACCTGGATGCTGCATGTGTACATCTAGTGATGATGCGTTTGCCTCTCGCTTGTCTGTTTTTGTATATAATTGCATGGAAGTATTATAATGTCGACATATTACTAGTCCAATTGTTCTGAAGTCTGATGGTCTTTTTAGAGCTTGCTGGGACCCAAGGAAGTCCTAAAAATGCCGTCATTAGTCAGAGAAATCTCGAACTAATATAATACTTCAATGATGCTAGTATTTGATATTGTAAGCCCAATAAATCGTTACAGGATATTTCTGGCATGTGACAGATTTCCACTGGGATCATACTTACATGAGTCAGGACCTTTCCTGTAATGAAGTCGTAGAAACCTATGGTATATATGGTGATTATTGGTGTGATGCCCCCTGGAAACTGGTGAACGACAGCGTTGAAGCAATGAAGGCACTGAAACCTGATCCTGACTTTATATTGTGGACAGGGTATACTTTTCTTGACTTCCTTTCAATTTCTAGCGTTAAAGAGATAATGAATTTTAGTTTTTTTTTCAATGATAAAGGCATACTTATACGTATTGAGGATAACACTAGGAATTTACATTTTTAACGATTTTTTACACTGCATGGAATTTTTTATAGCCAGTAAGAAGCAATGGCTAACGGACTACTTAATATCAGACTTAAACCGTTAGAGTGTACAGGTTATAAAATGTTGCACGTATTTGAAATCGGTCTAAAGAGTATAGAAAATTATGTGATTATTAAGCTTTATAATTTGGCACACCGCTGTTGTACCGATTAAAAAAAAAACACAAATCAGAATATTCGCTGAAAAATAGCATTATTCTTCAAAGGTGGGATAATTTATTAAGATGACTATTGATGACACTTAAAATTGATTTCAGAGACAATACTCCCCATACAAGTGATGAAAACGTTAATTTTGAAATCCATGATGCAATATTGGGGAACATTACTAATCTTCTGAAGGACGTATTTACGACTGTTCCTGTGTATGCCACGTTAGGAAACCACGACTACTTTCCTCATAACCAGTTCCCAGAGACTGGTAATTTGCTGTATAACAGGTCTTATGATAGATGGAAAAGTTGGATTGGTGAAGAAAGCATGGATCCATTTCTCCGCGGTAAATGTGCTGAGAAAAAAACATATTTATTTAGATTTTTGTTTGTTAGATCGGTTGTAGCAGCCTCACATTGATTGGTATAACCGAGTGGTTTTCTTTGTATCACTATATATCTATAGCACAACTTAATAAAATTGAGAATGGAAATGGGGAATATGTCAAAGAGACAACAACCCGACCAAAGAGCAGACAACAGCCGAAGGCCACCAATGGGTCTTCAATGCAGCGAGAAAATCCCGCACCCGGAGGTGGTCCTCAGCTGGCCCCTAAATAAAATTATGTACTAATTCAGTGAAAATGGACGTCACACTAAACTCCAAAACATATAAATGAACTAATATTAAAAAACATACAAGACTAACAAAGGCCAGAGGCTCCTGACTTGGGACAGGCGCAAAAATGCGGCAGGGTTAAACATGTTTTGTGAGATCTCAACCCTCCCCCTATACCTCTAGTCAATGTAGAAAAAAGAAACACATAGCAATACGCGCAGTAAAACTCAGTTTAAAAGAAGTCCGAGTCCGATGTCAAAATAGGTAACAAAAGAAACTAAGCAAAATGACAATGATACATAAATAAACAAAGGACTACTAGCAGTTACTGACATGTCAGCTCCAAACCTCAATTAAACTGATTGAAAGACTATGTCTTCATCATATGAAAATCAAGTACAATCCCTCCCGTTAGGGGTTTAGTATCATACCATCATAAAATATGTGAGAAGAACATAACCCGTTCTTAAAACAATTAATGCAATAATTAATCGTTAAAAATCCACTATTATTCCTGTTTTGTACATATACATTCAAACAACTAAAATATTTTCTTATTATTTTTTTATAATTAACGTTATAGTATATATTTTAATTCAAGGTGCATATTACACACTTAAGACTGCAACTGGTTTGAGAATTGTTGGACTGAATACAAATCTTTACTATACTTCTAACAAACAAACTGGTAGTACAGAGGATCCCGCCGGCCAGTTTGTCTGGTTAGAGAAAGTACTGGAAGCAGCAAAGGTAGCCAATGAAAAGGTCAGTAAATGTAAACAATGCATCCTGAGACTACTCTAACGTAGTTAACTTTACCAGTAGACACTGTTTGATTGCGAAATCGCCTCGTGAGCTCATATTTTTCTCCTAAAAAGATCATTTTCATTTATTTATCATCATGGGATTTATATGTGTATTCAGGAGTGGTGTTATTTCCGTTTCAAATCTGCTATACGACTATAGAAGGATACCAGAGTGACTGCAATAAAAGAAGTATAAACACAAAGTATAAAAGAATTAAGCAAAGAACTTGTCCTTCCAATTTTTCTCTTTTTTGCTTTCATTTTAGTATCAATTCACTTTGTATATCTAAAGTTTGATAGAGACAGAAATGCTTCATTTATATTGTTTGTGTTGAAATTCTATATACATTTACTTTGGGTATGGCACAAAATCTCACCTTTCTGTGCTGTTCTTGAACGTTTTTTGTATGAAATCTACCGCGAGGTACAGTGACGGATATTAGAGTGTAGAATGGTATGGTTTCTATTTCAGTGATGATCTTTTATGTACATTTTGTTATTCCACTAAATGAGATTAAAGAAGGATGTTAAAGTGTATCAATACAAGTTTAACGCCACCACATATCCATGGACTTATCCAAAAGCAGAAACCTTATCAGTGACTGTCTTCAGTTACAACTTACTGTTTCTTTCAGTGTCCTCACAAGCCCAAAAGAAGAGCCCATTCATGGTAAGCCTACCTCAAGTTAGGATCCTCGACAAAGGTTGTCTAAGCTTTTATCTCTTTATAGATCTTTTGGTATTCATTTGATGTTTTACCTTATATAAGTTCTGTAAAACTTTCTTACATCTCAATGGGATACTGTCTTTCGTTTATCAATAGGGACTTTTTAGGGCATAGTTGGTTCACATTTTGTTATCTTGGGGACTTTTATAACTTCCTTTATGATATGGGTGTGCTCATTGTTGAAGACAGCATGGTGACCTGTAGTTGTTTACAGCTATGTCATTTGGTCTTTGGTGGGTATTTGTCTCATAGGCAATTTTCATACCACATCTTGCATTGTAAATAGTTTGAATCATTAACTCAACAAAATGTTTTTCCCTCTGTTATCTATAAATAAATGTCCATTTGCAGTTTAGATTTAGGAATACAGCAATTGCATGCATTTAATCGAATGACTGGTTTGCACGCGACGCAGAAATATGCATAGTCACGTTTTGTCATATTCTGTATATTATATCTTGGTAACACCGTACATTCCGGTTACATGTAACTGTCCCTAGATAACTTTAGAATATCACCAATAAGAATATTTTAAAATGTGACCTGATCAAACGAGTTATTGTTTCATGATACGTATATGTATTCCTTTGCATATTTGACTAGGTTCTAGTAACGGCACACGTACCACCGGGTGTAAATCCCACCACTGGTAGAGTCCCCTGGATGTATCCACAGTATAATACCAAACTGAACAGTATATTCATGAACTATACAGAACAGATTATTGGGATGCACTTTGGACACGAACATTCAGACAATTTTAGGGTCTACCATGACGACGCAGGTACCAATAGTTTGTGATATTAACCATCGGGCATCATCGTGAATTTTTCAAATGAAATTAATTAATCCAGTAAGAAAAATTCATAACTCAGCTGAAATAATGTCGGGTCTTTTCAATACTCCAATATATGTTGATTTTCTGGAAAAAATAGTGAATATTCCAATGAAAGGTCTCAGATTATGATAAATTTTTTTTGTACGAGTACAAAATGTATGTTTCTATGAGAATGTAAAAATTCTAAAATCATACTTAGAAAACGTTTTTTATGAAATACTTTTCACTTTGATATTTAGAATGTCATGTTTATTTTTACTTTATGTCATCATCGTGAATTTCTAGAACTGAATTTCACTATTCCAACAAGGAAAAAATACTATACTGAGCTAAAATATTGTTAGGTATTTTAACTATTCTTAAATACGACTAGATACGCTGCATTTTGAGAAAAAGGATGAATACTTCTGTTAAAAATCTAAGGTACGAGTGTATTCCATGAAACTGTGAACATTCAATAATTTTACTTATACCATACCTTTATGATGAAATGTTTTCCACTTTTTCATTTTGTTTGTCATGTTTATTTTTACAGGTGAGGGTGTAATTGCACAGTTTTGTGCGCCTTCTGTAACGCCTTGGCGGTACAAATTTGCTGGTAGAACTGGACCCGCTCATAATCCAAGTTTCAGGCTACTAAAATACGACAGATCGAATGGAAACTTGCTAGACTTTACACAGTATTATATGGATTTACCAGAAGTCAATAGGAACAATCAATCTGAATGGAAAATCGAATATAATGCCACCACGGCCTATGGGTTGGTTGACCTCTCTCCTTCGTCGATGGCACAACTTGTTACCCGGATGAAAACTCAGAAGAACCAAGAATTTCAATCTTTCCGTAAATTCTGGACAGTTAGTGTTAGTGAGAATTATAAAGAACTATGTGATGAAAAATGCCATGCTGGTTTTTATTGTAATTCTAGACATTTGGAAAAAGACAGTTTTGAAAACTGCTTTAATGGTCTTACAACTTCGGCAGCACCGTTTTCGCCAAATTATAATGGCTTAACATTCAGTCTCCTAGTGATATGTTCAACTTTTGTCACACAGTTTGTTTAAATTAAATACTTTTCTGTTTACCAATTGATGAAAAATAGTGGATCTTCTAAAAGCTAGATCATGTACAAACACTTAGTTAAACCCTTTCGTGATTAAAACAAATACAAATATGTCACGTATAACTTTGTACCATCTTTCATATTCTTGTTACGATTTTCGGTCCACATAATTGATAGTTGCCTTATAACTAATATCTTGATATTCTTACACATCTGTAAATAGTGTACAATTACTCTATAAAGAACTAGAAATCCTACTAATTAGATATAGGAAGATGTGGTATGAGTGCCAATGAGACAACTCTTCATCCAAGTAACAATTTATAAAAGTAAACCATTATAGGTCAAGGTACGGCCTTCAACACGTAGCATTGGCTCACACCGAACAGCAAGCTTTAAAGGGCCCCAAAAATTACTAGTGTAAAACCATTCAAACGGGACAACCAACGGTCTAATCTATATAAAAACGAGAAACGGGAACACGTATGAACTACATAATCAGACGACAACTACTGTACATCATATTCCTGACTTAGGACAGGTGCAAACATTTGAAGCGGGACTAAGAATACAAATAAATTTTTACCCTTTCGCTTGGAATAAGAAACATTTAAAATGGGTGAAGGTGGAGGGGTGTAAATCACTTACAGCTGATGTATTCAAAATCAACCATATCATTGTTGAAGGCCGTACAGTTGCCTTTAATTGCTTACATCCACTTCATTTGAACTTTGGTGGATAGTTGTCTCATTGGCAATTATACCACATCTCCTTATTTTTAAACATATCGTACATTTGTAAATGAAACAATCGTTGTCGGTAAACTTTAGAAATATAAAAAAAAAATGTGCATCTTTTAAGGCATGACATATTATCTGTGTAGAGAACTTCTATTTTGTATGCAAAGATTATAAACATAATATGAAGTTTACTGTGAATTTCAAATGTTTATTGATTGAACAGAAAATAGGAAATTGCTGAGACATGTTTCCATTATACTTTACATGGGGTTTAATTTTTCATACCAACCACATCCTCTGATTATCATAAAACATAATTTTCTGTTAAGAAAATGAAGTGCAAAAAAAAAAAATTGTTTACTGAATAGGGTTATTTGCTACTCCAGTCATACACATTTTTTGCTATTTGCTAGACGTGATGCTACCAAAGCTTATAGTTATAATGAGATCCATAATTTGTGTTTAAACTATTGCTGTGATAATTGAACCTCCGGGTTCGTGGAATCTTTTTAACGAACCAATGCTTATTCATTGTATCTACATTATAAAAGCCTCTTAATTGTATTCTTTTCCGTAAGACTAATATACAGTTTACATCTTTATTACTTGCGTATCATAAAGTTTTGTCAGAACAATCGTCTGCATATTGTTTATATCTGTAATATGTTTCTTGAATAAATATTTATTTTTTATTATTTATTTGTATACTGTCAATCCTAAGATTTATTGTTCAAATGTGCATTCACATATAAATATGATCATATTTTGTCCGTCGGTACCTACACGAAGATTGTGGTGAGATTTATCAATAATCATTATACATAGGATTTTTATAAAATTTGATTCATGAAACACACTCGTACTTGACTCTATTAGATGCATAGGTTGTTACTATGCGATGTTTCAGAACCCCTAAAGTAAATAGCCGACTTTAGTTTTTGCGTTATCGTAGTCACTAGCAGATGTCACACCCCAATTAAATATCGACATGGGTGTATAAACATTTCATAAACATTGTATGAGGGTACACTTTGATGGGGTTTACAGAATCGAGAATAATTGTCCATTACTATAGAAAATTAGACAAAACATAAAGCCGGAAAAGAGGAAAATAGACCAATTTTCAAAGGTAGAACGAATGTCTTCTGGCATCTTGGATTGTAAAATAGCCGAACACAATTGGTCCTGATCTTTAATGAAATATGCAACTGTTGAAGAATGCAATTTATTTTACATCTAAAAGAGAAAAAAAATATGTGTTTTATTATTGTTACGACTGTTTTTACAAAAACAGAATGTTTTGTTTTGATTTTATTCAATCCTTTTATTTAATTTCGGCGTACAAGGGGAAACAATTCAGATATCAAACATTTATAGAGGAACATACAGTATTTTTTTTAAGGCAGTGGCTATTCAGTTGCCGGCTTCCTTAGCGCTATTTATATAGAGTCATGCTATTTTGCCGGTCTTATTTCAGATTTTTCTTCAGACTAGATGACATTAAATTTTTATTGAAACTAAAGTCAGCGGTTGATGACAGTCTGGTGATAGAGGAGGAACACATATCAACCCCGCCCTAAAATAGTTTCAAGTACGCGTCCTGAGACAAACTAGTGAATATAAAATTGATAAAAAAATACCGATATTGTAAAGACGATGCATGGAAATCTATTGACTGCATCTTTTCTATGAAAGTTGAATATAATTTATAAATCTGCAATTTTTGTAAATGTGATGCAGACGTAAAAAACATACCACATCTCCTTATTTTTATATAAGTGTAATGCGCAGTTCATGTCTGCATTGGCAGCATCCTCCTTTTGCAAGACTAAAATATGCCCCAAAAGGAAGGCACTGGTTTTGTAACACTTGTAAAGCATTTTGAGGTGGTTGAATGTTACTTTTGATTTAAAAACTTATAGGATATTTTTATTGAAATGTTTAGTTATAATGTCGATTTTAATATGCATGCTTTGCTTAATGTGTATTATATTAAAAAAAAAGACATATTTTTTTAGAGACTTCTTATTATAACAGTAAAGAATATCAATTTCAATATGCATGCTTTGCTTATTTATAAATGCTTTAAGAAGGCATGTTTTTTAGAGGTTTTTTTTTATTAAACTGTATGTTTCTATATTTTTCTATTCTTAATTAATATACTGAAGACCGGCAAAATAGCAAAACTCTATATAAATCGCCGGAGCCGGCAAAATAGCGCTATGGAGGCTATTTTGTCAGAGCCGGTAAAATAGCACCTAAGAGGCCTTTTTTTTAAACTTAATTTGCTTGCTTTGTTGCGAGTCCATTGACCCCATTTTTTATTTTTATTTTCCGAAAGCAAATCAGAACAGCTATCTTCTCGTATAATTTTAAAAAGTTAAAGTTTAATTTTCTTTCTAATTCATACACTATTCTTTTCTTCTTCTCCGTGTAATTCTTTACAAAATCTCACAATTTTGCACAACCTATAGCTTAGAAAAAGTTCCTGTGACTCAAAACGTGTGGATCAACTGGTCTTCACACTGCTTTCAGTTTCTGACAAAAAAAGTAATGATACAGGTAATAATTTGACAAATATTTTTTCTATCTGTCGTACAAAAGAAATTTGATATTTGAATTTCAATAAAATTTTACAAAACAAATTCGTCTTCAGCCAGGAAGCACCCTTACAATCGTAAAACAGCTATAATCAGGTTCACGTATTGCACACTGTGACATTTATTTAAGAACGCAATTGGTCAAATGGAAGATTCCCCAAATTCTCTCTTCAATGAATTTCTTTAGAAAGTTACGCTTTGTTTTCCACAGCTAGGCTCAGTATTCGGAAAAAAAACCCACATAATAAATACTAAAGAAAAAAAAATGAACACTCAGTCTTTTCTAGCTCAAGGTCTATATTCACTTAAAAAACACACAAAAATAAAAGCTGTCGTAAATTTATGATATTGCAAAGCACTTCATATCTTTTGAAAAGATTAAACTTGTGTTTTCAACTTTTGGGTAGATTTAGTTTTACTGTATTTGAACTTCACGGTTCAATAGACCACAACACCTTCGATTCTCTTTTTTGATTGGTTACTATGATTTCAAGGGTTGTTCTTTTTGTTCTAATTTTTCAACTCTTATCATGAGGGAATCATTTATAGCTTATAAAGTTACATTGTCTGAAACTGACTGTCCACATAGATTAAATATTTTTTGGTGCGAAAGTTGATTTTATAAGGTAAGTTTTATTCTTTCTTTATTAATAACATAATAATGGTCTAGTAATAGTTTATATAGTGACACACAGAATGAATGTCAAGTTTATTTTGGTGACTGTCGAAAGGAGTTTATAAAAAGACAATAAGAAAAGAAGATTTTACGGTCAGTTTTCGTAATTAGTTTTCTATTTAAATTGGTATACTCTTATATTTAGTCTCTGGTTATACTTCTATTACTTTACCAATGAATTGACTGAACGCGGCGAGTCGAGTAGACCGGTATGAATAATATTGTGTAAATGGATTTGAAATACCATTTAATAGAAATAAAAAATACTTCCATATAGATGAAATTTGAATTTTTATCAGAAATAGGATTTTTGTAGCCTAAACTATAAACAATACTTTACAGAACAACATACAAGAATATGTAATATATTTTTACAGTCCATTTATGAAACAAAATAGAGGTGAAAGATAACAAAGGGACAATCATAACTTGCATTAAGTCAATGAGAGATGGACAAAACCATGACAGAAAACAAAAAAAAGATGAAAAGACAAACAGCCTTTAAATACTGCTTAAAAAAAATGCTGAGCAAAAATACATTCATCATGTTTCTCGGGGAAAAAAACACAATACAATATTCAGAGAAAAACTTGGATGCAATAAACATTTTGTAAATGCTCAAATTACTCACAAGAGTTAAATAATGTTTAAATCCAAAATTAACCTTCAAATTAGTAGAACAACGAAGTTTCCTCTTCTGCATGAATGTTAAGCACCATTAGTACTGCAAACAGAGTTAATTTTTTTGGACTTTAATGTATTTGAAGAATACCCAGCTATATATAGTGTACTTGCAAACTCGGCAGACTGGTTTATAACATAGACAAAATATATTTATCAACCGTGGCAAAAGTGCGATGTGACTCGCTTTTACCAATTTGTTCAATATAAAACCAAATCAGTTTAAAAATATGCCATGGACATTGACAGGAATCTGTATCTGGAGACTTCATAACAATTAAATTGCCTAGGACCTTAAAACAAGGAATTATTTGAATCTTTATGATAAAAACTAACCAAACTAAAGAGCCATGCATGCATGTCATGGTTCATTTTACTTTCACTGATATTTCAGTAAACTAACTTAAACCCCCTCCCTCACCTCCCCTCTTATCTTTTTCCTAAATTGGGATAGTTTTCATCATTCATTTCTTATCAATTTTCCAAAATTAAAATTATCCTAGATTCAAATAATAGCTAGTTTAAGTGTAATATCACTAAATCATAGTACGTCACATCCGGTTGCATATGAAAAAGGGTGAAAAAAAAATATTCCCTTGAATTTGACAGTTGTAGTAAATTAATCCTACATTTCATTGCAGTAAAAAATCATAAACATATATCTTGGGTGTTTCAATGCACCATTATTTTTTTATTTGGTGTTTCTATAGAATATTTAGGAAAATTGAGGTTACATGCTTACTAAAGCTTGAACACAGGAAAAAAAGGGGTGAAAATTTGATTGATTAACTTCCAGTGATGGTTATTTTCTTATATGCAATGAAATGTTATGTGATATTTTGTCTATAGTACTGGACAGGATAAAACTTTACTCATGCCAAGTATTTCTTTATTTGAAACAAAGATAAATTCTGCACAATTTTTTGAAAAGTGCAAATTTAACAAAGACTAATTGGGGAAATCAATGGTGGAATTACAACTTTATTTGCCTTAAAATTCAAAATGTTTTCCAGTCTGGTTTGGATAAACCTTCGAATTAAAATACCTTTTCATTAAATAATTAACACCAGTTCACTAATATCATTCGGCAGATTTTACTGTTGAGACTGTTTGCTGTCATATCTATCAAACATATCAACAACTATAGCAGCATTGGCAATGTATGATTTCTGATTGAGCCATCTCCCTAAAAGTGTTCAATTTCTTTACATATAAAAACTGTACAAAGGCAATTTCCTGTCTGATATGTATGGTAACTGATAACCAACAAATAAATTTGGAAACATCTTGTTTATAGAAGCACCTAACAAAGCTTCATTGACACTATGGTTATCTTCCGGGGAAATAATATCAGACCTAAGAGCACTAGCAGAAGAGTAAAATAACTGCTCCTCATTTAACATGTATAACCTAGTTATTAGAGTATTAGACCCACCTTTAATAATTGGTCCTTTTTTATCCAACATACTTGAAATAAAAACTTACGAACAATTATTACGCTTTTAAAACTCATCTTGTTAAGCCAAAGACTTTTTTATTGTTATCTCCTCAAACACTGTTTTTCTTGTGAGTGTATCTGTTCCGTAACCAAAAAAGATAACAACAAAATTCTTTTTCATATTTGGTCGTTACATTTTCAGGAATTTTTGGCTGATTTAGATCGCAGCGATTCGTTGAAATCTTATAGGAGTTATCTACCCTTACCAAATAAATTTGTGGTTATGATTTTGTAACT